ATCCGCGCGGGAGGAGTGGAGAGCCCCTTCTTGTTCAAGGCTGTCTCGGTGCATCTTTGGGAAAAGGTGGTGCGGCAGTGGGAGGAGAACGACTATGGTTATGAATTGGAGACCCCCTTGAGTGGAGGCAGGAGGAGGATTGCACATGCTGTGTGGGCGGACAACTTGTATGTGTGTGCACGGAGCCTGGACGAACTTCGGGAGATGATGTCTATGCTCACGGTGCCGTTGGCTCAGGCGGGCCTGCGGTGGAAACCCTCATCGCTGGGATACCTCTTGTGTGGAGGCTGGCCTCGCTGTTATGATACCGAGCTTCGTGTGCGGGTCCCTGACTATGGTGAGGAGTTGGTCCTGCCACGTCTTCGACAGATGTCGGCTCTGGGAGTGGAACTCTTTGATGACTGGAGTGAACATCGGGATCTACTTTGTCATTTACAGCGTGCCAGGCGTGCGTGGATGTGTGATGTACTTTTTCTATCGCTGTAGACAGTTACCTTTGCGTGATCGTTTTATGCGTTACATTGCACGAGTGCAGTCCGTTGTTTTGTATGCATGCGAAGGTATGACGGCGGATGGGGGGACTATTCAGAAGTTACGTGCGTGGGGGGGTCAACTGCTGGCGATCATTGGTGGTCTGCGTAAGAAGGCGAGTGAGGATTGGACCGTGTATACTCAGAGGCGGCTGCGCTATGGTCGCCAACACTTTGCTAGGTACGGCTTCCAATCATTGGTCCAAAGATTTCTCAGAAAGCAGTGTGACTGGGCAAAGGATGTGGCATCGTTCGCTTGTATGCATACGTGTGCACCTATGTTAGCGCGTGCGTCGGGGGAGGGGGCGCATGCCAATCGGCGTCAGCGTGCGAGAATCTTCCGTGAGACGGTGCGGGGCCAACGACAGAGGCTCTCGACCACCCAGCCTGGTGAGGCTCCGACACCAGCACTACCTGTGTTGGATGACGTGTCAAGGCCCTTTGTTCTTTCACGTGTTGCGATGCTGCATGGTTTGGGGGGGTGGACGGAGAGGAGGGAGGCTATGATTACTGCTAGTGGGAGGAGGACGGAGATAACCAGACTAACAGGGAGGAGGTTACCTACAGGCTACAGGCCGTGGGACTTCTTATTTGTGCAGGCTGCTGGTGTGAACTGGTGGCATCATCTCGACTGGAGTGAACATGGTTTTCGCGAGTTTGCTGCGGCCCGACTGTGTGCGGCGGGATTTTCGCATATCACGGAGGGCTTTATCTTTAAGGAGGAGGGAGGTCAGATACACAGAGAGGAGGAGGAGGTGGACAATCAGTATACACAGACGGCGCTTGATCGTATTGCCAGGCGCCTCGCAGCAAACTTTGAAAATGAGGTCCGCTTCGAGCAACGAGGCGGAGTTGCGATGGAGCTGTTAGGCGACTCCATGCTGATAACCAACTGGATGAGGGGAAGGTAGAATTGCAACAACAATATATGCCGATCGCAGGGGGTGGAGGTTATTGATCTGTTAGACGATGCCTGTCGAAATTTTAAGCTGCAGGGCCCAGCCACAGGATATGACTTGTGGCGTCATCACTATCGTGAAGGCAACGACCGTGCCGACCGACTGACTTGGGAAATCAGACATCTACCATTACAATCGAGGTACAGAAGCATTCAACAACAGGTAAACAATACTGAAACATTGATCGCAATCCGTGGTGCGTACGACGGTGGCGTTAGCAGTGCTGGTGCTGGGGGAGGATGGTGGCTAGACGGTGAGTTCATCAGTGAGCAATCTGGGGAAGGGGTTAGTGATTGCCTGCGCACGTTTACCCGTCCGTTGGCGGAGGAAGCTTTTGGCCTGCTTCCCGATGCGACGGTTACTCAGTGTGAGCTTGAGGCCGCTTCGAGACTTGCCCGCTCTGCTTGCAAGATACTTCAAGAGTATCACGTTTTTTCAGGGTACATCCAGCCCACAGGGGATGGCTGCACCAACCCGACCGCCCTTGTAGGGCCCTGTGGTCGGACCGCAAACCGCAAAAAACCTGGTTGACGGTTTACCGCCGGCTCCCAATTGGCAAAAAAGATATCGACGGACCTTTTGGTGACTTTTGGTCGGTTGAAAATTTTGTTCTCGAAATTCCTCCATTCGTTTGAGCTCTAGTACTTTCTTCCCGTGATATTCGATCTTATTCCCGCTCGCCGTCTTGATCTCGCCTCGATCGGGTACTTTTTACTTCCAAAAAGCACTGCGGCGGGATCGGCCGTTTCGGGTCATCTTGACACGCAGTGGCGTTTTTCTGTACATAACTCGAGCTATAGGAGAGCTACTGCGCTGATACTAACAGAAACCAATTCAGAATGATCAGGCGCGTTTGTCTGTTGAATCCAGAGGTCTGAACTCGGTCTGCTGCTCGAGCTAGGTCCGCGAAGCTATTCGTATTTTTCGAGTGATCTTGCGAGGTGCTGTCGGTTTTCTGTGCTTAACTCGCGCTGTAGGGGGGCTACAGGGCTGGTAATCACAGAAACCGATTCGGAGACATCAGGCGCGTCCGCCTGTCGCATGCAGAGGTCTGAACTCGGTCTGCTACTTAAGCTTGGTCCGCAAAACTGTTCGTATCGCTCGAGTCATGCCGACAGGGACTGTCGGTTTTCTGTACTTAACTCGAGCTCTAGGGGAGCTACATAGCTGATTCGCACAGAAACCGATGCACAATAATCAGGCGCGTTCGTCGGTTGCATCTAGAGGTCTGAAGTCGGTCTGCTACTCGAGTTACGCAAAACTATTCGGATCGTTCGAGTCATCTTGAGAGGTGCTGTCGGTTTTCGCACGTTACTCGGGCTGTAGGGGAGCTACAGACCTGATGCGCACAGAAACCGATTCGGAATCATCATGCGCGTTCGTCTGTTGCACCCAGAGGTCTGAACTGGGTTTGATACTCGGGCTAGGTCCGCAAAACTATTCGTAGTCTTCGAGTCATCTTGACAGATGCTGTCCGTTTTCTGTGTTGAATTCGGGCTGTAGGAGAGCTACAGAGCTGGTGCGCACAGAAACCGATCCAGAAGCATCAGGAGCGTTCGTCTGTTGCATTGAGAGGTCTGAATTCGGTCTGCTACCCGAGCTAGTTTCACAAACTTATTTGTATTCGACCGATATTTTTTCCAAAATGATGGTTAATTTCTTCACTGAAATCGAGCGGCCGAAAAATCAGGAGGAAATCATCAGGCGTGAAGCATCTAGACGCTTGGTTTGGGTCTGTTGTCAACGCAGACGCCAAACACGGTTCGTACTCTGCTACTTTCTCCCTAATGGTATTTTCTACACGCTGCAGATGAGCTATAGAACTGTTCAGCACAGCAATGGGATATCACTAGACAGATCAATATGCTATCAGCTCGGGCTGAAAAATTATTTGTTCTCTGCTAATTCTTTGGACATAATATACGGTCAGGAAGCTCTACGAGTCCCCCGGCGGTAAGAAAGGACGGTTTACCGCCGGCGCCCAGTAATTCCGGGGCGCTGGAGAGCTAGTACCTCGTAGAGCTTTTCGGCGTCGATGAGCTAGAGGAATTCGGGCGCGGGGTGGAGCTAGTTGGCCGATCGGGCCCGGGCGGACAATGCGACAACTAACTCGTAGAGCTTCCCTTAGCTAGCTGCTGGAAGCTTAAGTAATTCCGGGGCGCTGGAGAGCTAGTTGGCAAGAAAAATCTCGACGGACCTTATGCTGATTTTTGGTAGTTTTTTTTTTTTTTTTTTTTTTGGGGGGGGGGGGCGAAATTCAACAATTCGTTAGAGCTCTAGTATTTTTTCTCACCACATTCGATCTTATTCCCGCTCGCCGTCTTAATCTCAGCTCGATCGGGTACTCTTTACTGTTAAAAAGCGTTGCGGCGGGATCGGCCGTTTCGAGTCATCTTGACACGCGTTTTCGGTTTTTTGTTTTAACTCGAGCTGTAGGACAGCTACAAAGCTGATACTTACAGAAACCGATTCAGAATCATCAGGCGCGTGCATCCAGAGGTCTGAACTCGGTCTGCTGCCCGAGCTAGGTCCGCGAAACTATTCGTATTGTTCGAGTCATCTTAAGAGGTGCTGTCGGTTTCTGTACTTAACTCGGGCTGTAGGGGGCTACAGGGCTGGTAATTGCAGAACACGACTCCGAGACATCAGGCGCGTCCGCCTGTCCCATGCAGAGGTCTGAAATCGGTCTGCTACTCGAGCTAGGTCCGCAAAACTATTCGTATCGCTCGGGTCATCTCGACAGGGACTGTCGGTTTTCTGTACTTAACTCGAGCTCTGGGGGAGCTACAGAGCTGGTGCGCACAGAAACGGATGCACAATAATCAGGCGCGTTCGTCTGTTGCATCCAGAGGTCTGACCTCGGTCTGCTATTCGAGCTAGGTCCGCGAAACTATTCGTATCGTTCGAGTCATCTTGAGAGGTGCTGTCTGTTTTCGCACGTAACTCGGGCTGTAGGAGAGCTACAGACCTGATGCGCACAGAAACCGATTCGAAATCATCAGGCACGTTCGCCTGTTGCATCCAGAGGTCTGAACTGGGTCTGCTACTCGGGCTAGGTCTGCAAAGCTATTCGTATTCTTCGAGTCATCTTGACAGATGTTGTCCATTTTCTTTATTGAATTCGGGCTGTAGGAGAGCTGCAGAGCTGGTGCGCACAGAAACTGATGCAGAAGCATTGTGAGCGTTCGTCTGTTGCATCGAGAGGTCTGAATTCGGTCTGCTGCCCGAGCTAGGTTCAGAAAACTTTTCGTATTCGACCGACAATTTTTTCCCAAATGATGGTGAATTTCTGCACTGAACTCGAGCTGCAGAGCAGCTCGAGAGCTCTTCGGCCGAAAAATCAGAAGGACAGCATGAGGCGCGAAGCATCTAGACGCTTGGTTTGGGTCGTTGTTGTGAGTGCAGACGCCAAACACGGATTCGTACTGTGCTATTTTCTCCTAATGGTATTTTCTACACGCTGCAGATGAGTTATAGAACTGTTCAGCACAGCAATGGGATATCACTAGACGCCTGAGATCAGTCTGCTATCAGCGCTCGGGCAGAAATTCTGTTCGTTCTCTGCTAATTCTTTGGACATAATATATGGTCAGGAAGCTCTACGAGTCCCCCGGCTCAAGGTTCCCGGCTCAAGTTCCCGGCTCAAGGATCAAGGCTCCGCGAACGTTCATTTTCTACTGCCTGGGGAACCTCCGAGAAGGTGAAAGTTGAGCTAGCGTGTTGTTTTGCTCCGCTTACGCAACTGCCCATCTCCCTGTACATCTTGCTTGTCATTATTGGCCTCTCATATTCATTTCTCGTTGCGGTTTGGTGGTGGCAATTTGTATACGCTGACTTGTTCCTCACTGCCTAGAGTGGTGCTCGTAAGTCTCGGTTCTTTCAGATCTGCCTTGAGTGGATTGCATATGGTTCAATTTGCAGTATATCATTGTTGTGATCTCTTTCGAGTGCGGGTTGCACGTTGAATTCATTGTGTGGCAATTGTACTTGCTCCTTCCTCTATTCTCTGTGCTTCGTCGCCACATTTCTGACTGTATTGGATTTTGATTGTGACTGATGCCTCACGTGCGGAGCCTCACATCCAGGCGTATGCGTCGAGCTCGGGCCTGCCATCTCAGATGGGTCCGATCAGCATCCCCCGTTCCCTTGTCACTAGAAGGACTTGTTGACTACGAGACTGTTGCGATGGAGGTGCCGGCAGAGTCAGCTGAACAGGTTGATGAGTTGTGGGCTGCGTTGGCCTTTTGTACCCCCATTTGCCGCTACAGGAGAAAAAACATGTTGACATGAGAACTCAGACGGATCTGCACAGTCATGTTGACACCAGCACTCAGACGGACAGTGTTTGTACCTACCCGCCACTTTCCGAGGCCAACATTTCTCGTACTCAAGCTGTGGACCTTCATTGTGAAGTCGGCTGTCAGACAGAGAGTGTTTCTGGGATGGTGAGAGGAGCTTCCGTAATTGTTCTTGGGAAAGTGACTGTGGAGGCGGAGGAGGAATTGGAGGCACTTTCGAGAGCGGAGTTTTCTCCGAACGTGCAGGCTGATTCTGATAGCTGCGCCTTGTCGGGTGCGTTCCAGGGGTGTCTGAATCGTCCCGTCACGCTTAATGAGGTATCGAATCTTGGTTATGATGCGTCTGTCCGCGTCCGGATGGACGTCTCCAAAACAGTGCGTCAGTCGAATGAGAAAGCTTTTTCGGAAGTAATGCGTCAATCGCTCACGTTCCCGAGGCCGTGCACTGGTCGTGCCCGCGCTTCTGCGCGGTTCCTGTGTGATCGAGATGAGGCAGGTGCACTGGCGGCCGAATTCATGAGCCTGGAAAGGGGAGAGTCGGATGCTGAGTTCGAGTCCGACACGCTGGGTCATTTGCAGTGGGAGTTATCCCGTCTTGGTCTTCTGAATCCAGACCAGATGCGGTCTGTTTCCAGTGGTGTGATTCTGTATGCGCTGCAAGAACGGGATAGGCCTGGGCCGAAGTTTTTGGACTTGATGTTTCACATTCTCGTGCGTGCTTCAGGATTTCTCGCGAGTGGCCGTCGTGCGGAATTGAACAGAATCAGAGCCCTTTGTAATGATATGTTTGTTGCTATGGAGCGGGACTTCCTGCGGGAGGAGAGGAGGATGAAGGAGTGGATTTCGGCTATGGTTTTGGAAGGTGTGGGAAGGTGCTGCAAGATTTTCTTTGGCCAGGTTCCGAGCGCACCAATGCCGCCAGGTGATGGCGATGTTTCAGGCGTTTACATGGCCGCTTTGGAGGAGCATCGACAAACACATCTGCAGAACGAGCAGTGTGAAGCTACGCTTGACATGATTTTTCGTTTCGATGAGACCCAGAGGGACCTGCTGGGAACGTGGATGAAAGACGAGCGCAATCTGAATGATCCCGAACGTCTCCAGTGCCGTTTCAATCTCTTGCACGTGAGTTATCATAGGAAACGGAGTGGAAAGTGGACTCGGGAGGAAAATGTGGCGATGACGTCGCTCTTGACTTCTTTATGATTCCCTCGGCGTAATTTCTTTGCTTGGGGTACGCACCATTCTCTTACATTATTTGGTTTGTGTGTGTGTTGTTTCTTTGATGGAGATATCGTAGCACGGACGTTTGTCGCATCATCGATGTGCCTCTGCGGTATCGACATACTTCGGATTTTGTGTTTGCTTTGTCTCTTGCCATGCTGTGTGTGTGTGTGTGTCGGGCATGCGCGCGTGTTGGTATAAGAGCTCCGCATGCTTTTCACTTTGTTCGGAATAAGAGTTTCGCGTGTGCCCGCTTCCGCTCAAAGAGTGGTGGGTGTCTTGCCTGACTCTGTATGCCGCCCGTTTTTCCTGCTTGCGACTGGGCCTGACGGCCCGCATAGTCGATCGCAAAGACCGCAGAAAAGAAAGGTTGACGGTTTACCGCCGGCGCCCAGTTTTGGGTGGTTTTGCTAAGATTTGAAAGATATTGGACAATTCATTTTGAGAAACCAGATTTTTGCGCCAAGCATACGTATATACGCTTTGTTCTCAGAGCAGCTCAGCTCCTCTGGGGGAGTTTCACCATGGGTTCACTTCCGGGAACCAACCTGGTATTGACATCGAAAAATAGAAAAATTAAGATTTTAAGAATTTATTCTAAAAAGTTCTCTGCTTCGATTCTGAGCACTCTAGTGCGTGCGAGGAACTCTACGAGGTTCCCGGCGGTGACCAGGTTGCTGCTGTTCCTCCTTGGGGATCTCAGCGGTGGCCTGGCCCGTCGGGGGCTTCCTCAAGCCTGTCTCCTCAGGCTGCCCCCTGGGCGGCCGTGTGCGCGCGGGCGGGCCGTGCAATCAATTCGGGTACTTCGTCGGCTGCGACGACCTTCTCTCCTTGGGCCTACAGACGATAGGTGCTGGAGGCCAGCTCTGTTTGGCATCAGAAGTGGGACTGACTTCAACGCATAGGCCGCTGTCGTCGCTTTGTACTTGTTTGTACTGCCTGCTTGCGCTTTCTCCATTATTGTTCTTGCACACGTGTGTATTCTTTGACATTGAGGTACTTTGACAGTTCTGTGACATTGGAGTATCTTGAGATTGAGGTTCTCTGCATTGTATCGGCGTGCCTGTTTCCATTCTTTCTTTGAATCGTATCGATCAGAATTCAAGATACTTGAGTGCGTTATCAGACATTCAGTTAGGCAGGCGATTCAAGATACTGAGTGCGTTATCAGACATTCAGTTATCCGAGAGTTACTTCTTGAGTGCGTTATCAGACATTCAATTATCACATATTTGACGTGAGCATACGACTCTTGCCTTACCGCGGGTTGTTACCACATATTTCGGACTTTGTGTTTGCGTTGACTCTTGCCATGCTGTGTGTGTGTGTGTCGGACATGTGCGCATGTTGGTATAAGAGCTCTGCGTGATCTTCACTTTGTTCGGAATCAGAGTTTTGCATTTGCCCACTCCCGCTCGAAGAGTGGTGGGTGTCTTGCCTGACTCTGTACACAGTCGACCGCAAATTCGTTGTGTTTCACGTGCATGGTCTTTCAGTGGTGCTGAGACGGTAATCGCTATATGTGGTTACTGCGTTGTCTCGCATTACTTTGAAGTGTACTCGTCATTTTAGTTGTTTGTTTTGTGTTTGTCTCAGTGGTGTTGAGACGGTAATCGCTGTATACACCAGTGGTTACTGTATGGTCTCTCACTGCTTTTATTTTCAGTGGTGCTGAGACGGTAATCGCTATATGTGGTTACTGCGTGGTCTCGCATTGCTTTTACTATTTATCTCATTTTAGTTGACTCTTAGTGTAATATACGCTCTTGGGCATTGCTGTGCAGCTTCGCTGTTAGTACGCTCAGCGTTTTGCTCTCAGGCTCAGTTCTGAGTTGCTTTGTGTTTCGGTCTGCCTCCGTGGAGGCTCGAATCGACCGTCCGCAAAAGACCGCAAAAGACCAGGTTGACGGTTTACCGCCGGCGCCAGTTGGCAAGAAAAATCTCGACGGACAAATTTTGTTCTCGAGATTCCTCAATTCGTTTGAGCTCTAGTATTTTTTCCGTGATTTTCGATCTCATTCCCGCTCGCTGTCTTAATCTCAGCTCGATCGGGTAGATATTACTGCCAAAAAGCACCCTGGCGGGATCGGCTGTTCCAAATCATTTTGACAGGCGTTGTCGGTTTTTTGTACTTAACTCGAGCTGTAGGACAGCTACAGAGCTGATACTTACAGAAACCGATTCAAAATCATCAGGCGCGTTCGTCTGTTGCATCCAGAGGTCTGAAATCGGTTTGCTGCTCGAGCTAAGTCCGCGAAACTATTCGTATTGTTCGAGCCATTCGGCGAGGTGCTGTCGGTTTTCTGTACTTAACTCGGGCGGTAGGGGGGCTAAAGGGCTGGTAATTACAGAAACGGATTCGGAGACATCAGGCGCGTCCTCCTGTCGCATGCAGAGGTCTGAAATCGGTGTGCTACTCGAGCTAGGTCCGCACAACTATTCGTATCGCTCGAGTCATCTCGACAGGAACTGTCGGTTTTCTGTACTGAACTCGAGCTCTACGGCAGCTACAGAGCTGATGCGCACAGAAATGAATGCACAATAATCAGGTGCGTTCGTCTGTTGCATCCAGAGGTCTGAACTCGGTCTGTTACTCGAGCTAGGTCCGCGAAGCTATTCGTATCGTTCGAGTCATCTTGAGAGGTGCTCACCGTTTTCGCACGTAACTCGGGTTGTAGGAGAGCTACAGAGCTCATACGCACGGAAACTGATTCGGAATCATCAGGCCCGTCCGTCTGTTGCATCCAGAGGTCTGAACTTGGTCTGTTACTCGGGCTAGGTCCGCAAAACTATTTGTATTCTTCGAGTCATCTTGACAGATGTTGTCCATTTTCTGTATTGAATTCGGGCTGTAGGAGAGCTACAGCGCTGGTGCGCACAGAAACCGATCTAGAAGCATTAGGAGCGTTCGTCTGTTGCATCGTACGTTTGTCAAGACATGCTCCAAGAACCTCTGTGCGTCGATTCTGAGCACTCTTACGCGTCTGAGGAGCTCTACGAGACTCCCGGCGGTGACCAGGTTGAGGGTTCACCGCCGGCGCCAGTACTCTGCTCATCTTCTTGGAGATTGGTGATTGGTCAGGCTACACAGGGCGCGAGTGCCCAAACCTCGGGGCTAGAGCCAGTTAAATCCGCCTCCTCCACTTTGCAGAGGAAATCTCTTTAACAATTTGCTCCACACCTGTACAACGGCGCTCGGCAGCAGACAACTCTGCCTCCGTCACGGTGGAATCCACATGAAGCATGTAGGTTTCCGAGCACACGAGTGTCCACGGCCCGTTCCACTACTCACACCACCATCCCAGCAGCCGATGTTTGTCTTGTTCTGTTTGAATTCGTCATGCTTATAATTTATGTAAGAGTCTCCTTCTCTCGCATGGTGTGTGAGCTTATCCGCGTAGGCATTAGCTTCTCGATATATATGTTTCCAGAAATCCTTTCCGTGGGTAGGGCATCGTGTATTGTGTTGTTCGCACATGTCATACATAATATTTTGTATCCTGGCAATCCGCTTGGCATACCCGCTGTTGCCATACGCTTCTCTCAGCCATTGTACAACCATCCTACTGTCAGCACACATGTCAATAGCAATATCCTCCATCCCTCCGACACATGTAACATCGCCCGCAGTGTCTGTTATTTACTATACACCGTGGAAGGCACGTGACACTTATATTGGGAGACGTCAACAGCATATTCAAGGTTATACCTCGCAATTTTCACCACCAGTGTTTTGAATCCCCCTTCTTGGAACATCTTCCCGGACCTGTTGATACTACGATCCCTGAACTCCTCCCACGTGTCCGTCTCTTTTTTGGTGCAGTCCCCGCATCATGTTTAGAAATCTCCCTTCGAAGCTTCGCAACATGTTAAGTACATGTTCAGAGCAATTTCATCCCTCACATCCGTGACGTACAATCTGTTGGACTCTGTTCTGGTACCGTCTGAATTTTTCCTTCATGCTCACCGCCTGTGGTCGATACAATTTAATAGCAGCAAAGAAACACCGCCTGCCCGCGCCAATGCGGTGCCGTACTGCATGCAAATCCTTCGGGTTCGCACGAATTTAACCCCCAACATCTCACACTCACCTTTCCTCGGTAGAATAACAGTACCACGCAACTGATGAGGTAGATCAGGTCTCCAGCCTGCGTACATACACCATCTCCCAGCTCACATGTCAAGGATTGTGCACCCTGGTTCTGTTTCAAGCCAAACACAAGGTATTCTAAACTCTCACTCCTCCAGTCCATGCCAGCACGTCTGAGCGCCACATTCAGCATACCCACCATTCTCCTCAACTGATTTGCTGAAGTTGATACTAGCTAGCACCACTTTGTCTGCCCATAAGTATGATTGACCAGCGCCTTTGTGTTCCTTCTTCGCCTCCCAATCGACCCCCGTAGTTTCAAGACTCCCAGGCTTCAACAATAGTTCCCCCTATTGCCTCAAGTACAATATTGAAAGCACTGGTCCTTCTTCACCACCAGTTCGCACCGATTTGTTATACAAGATCTCCTCATTGCTAACATCTTGAAACTCAAAAACTGCTGTGTTGCCAATCATCGGCTCCTCTATGGCAATAATCAAATCAACTGGATATCTGAGGTATTCCATCGCACGGATCACCAGCGAAACCGTTGCATGATCACATGCTTGCTTGATGTCCATGGCGCCCATATGTATCGATTCCCCTTTCCCGCCAGAGGGTGGCATGACGTGTCATATGTAATAACGGAGCCGTCATATGATGTACTTTGTGACTTGTTTGGGACCCATCTGTGGCCAATCTCTTGACATGTCCATGTTCCTCAACAAAAATAAGGAGGCACGCCATATACCACTTACTCATAACACCCAACAGCGATATTCCACGAGTATCTCCAAATGCTTGGATAACGCTCATTTTGGGGATCAACTGCACACAATTTTCTCCACGAGTCTGGGGGCGGCTTTTTCTGATCATGAATCTCTTGGAATGAGTGTCGCATCAATCTCAATGCATTCCAAAGTATTGCTTTGAGAATCTCCGCCACCAGGCCATCAGAGCCCGCTGCGGTCTCGCCTTTCAAGCGAGCTCGAGCCCCCAGCAACGCACCCATCGGTATGACTTTGTTCGTAGTCCTGCCCTCTGCCTCCCACTGTGTCCGTAGTCGATGCAACTCTTTCTTCGCAGCTCCCCCCTCCCCATCATGTGTATGACCGTTGTGCGTGTTTGTTCAACTCCTCCACCCATTTGTGTTTGTTTTCCGTCAGTATCCCGTCACGCTCCATTTCCTTGATGCACCTACGGGGTCCATGTTTGGGGCCATTGGAGTCCTTGAGGAGCTGCTCACGCCTAAACTTTCTTCGAAGTGTTTTTTGTTACATCGTAATAGCTGTTTCTTTCGCTCACCAAGACACCCCTCCTTAACTCCGCTTCCACATCCACCAGTTGATCAGGTTTCTTGATTGGTTTCGTATCCGATCTGCCTTTTGTATGCCTACACATAGTCGCTGCTCTCACAAGCATCTCTCCCACCGTTTGTATACTTATATCACCCTGTTGATTCACATGTTGTTGTATCTGCACGTCTGCCAGTGTACTGAACACATTCGCAGACTCATAATCCTCCGGGACCCAGTTGATGAGACTCGGGGGTCTGGGTCGCACGAAGGGCTTGCGCACCGATGTATGTGTTATCCTCACCCATACTTTCGCATGATCACTGTATCGTGATGCCCGATCCTGTGTAGGATCAACAAATTCCACCATGCATTCAAATGAGCAGTTGATCCGAGCCACCTCGGTACCTGCAAACTGTGTCGGCACAAATACGTAGTCCAACACCCTGGAGTAACTGCTGGTACTCCACGGCCTTGTCACTTGTCGCACGCCGTAGGTGTTGGCCGCGCAAAGACCCCAATGATTCAGAAAGCGCCTCATTCACACCTCCTCCAATCCTTCTCCCGTGAAACCCAAGAGATTCGGTTCCAGCTCAGTCTGCGCATCTGTCCCAACAAAATGAAATACTTTTGACTCCTGGTATTGCTCACTACATAGTTGCCTGCATGCACACAGCTTAGCTAAAACATCCCAATATTCATCAAGCCTATCATCTCCCCGCTGCACTGTGGGTAGGTACACTGAGGACACGGCCACAGATGCAAATTGTACTACTGCAAACCTCTCACCACATTTTTCTGCCAGAGATTGTCGCTGCCCATGGGCCCCTAAAGGCCGCGACAGCCCGTCTGCACACACTGAAACGTACTTGCCACCCACATGCTTCAAATGCGTCCGATGACATATGCTGGCACTCCTGCAAACACAACACATCACATTGGCAATAGTCCAGCATTGCTGGCAGAAGCTCGCTACTCCTCTGGCTGACATTCCAAGTTGCCACCGCGAGCTGAGCGGCAGGTTGGCACCGTCATCTGTTTATTTGTCGTAGCTTTGTGAGCAACGCATCTTGGTCCACCTCAGGCTCCACCCTCCTCAAATTGTTGGTTTGAAGCGCCCGCCCACTATGTGCACCCCATTCAGCCATCAACACTCTTGTGTAGGGATCTGTTTGTGGGTTTTGTATGATCAATATATATATATATATATATATGATTTTGACGGCCCTGGCTCCCCTTTGCACACCGTTCCCGTCGTTTTCTCCACTTCCGCAAAACAGCTCTGAAATTTGCCTACCTGTTGTACATGGGGTGCTTTCCACGGCGCACATTCAACATGAAACTTCACATTCGCTGGCAAATCCGCGTTTCCCATATTGTATCCTCTTTCAAAGCAATTCCGAACCTGCCATATGATCTCCCCCGTCGTTCCCTTTCTGAAATATATACGTCCACGTGTGTATGGCCAGTATCTCCCCGTATTCTCACCCGCAGTTCTCGCATGATCAAAGGCAGCATTGTGTGTTGCATCCAAAGAAGC